TCTGCATGGCTGGCTGGAGAACTGGAGCAAACACAAACATTTTCCCAAGTAACCAGAGACAGAAGAATTTGGTGGTTTTATTCTTGGTATCTCACCAAAGAGCTGTCTATTTCCAGCTGAATAGAAATACATTACAGAGAAGAATGCATCACTTTAAAACAGATTAGGAACGCAGCACGTGGTCACAGGCACAAAATCCAAAAGAAACCAGGCATCATGGTGGAAAGAAGGCAGATGGTGAGCTGCTCTGGCCATACCCATTCACTCTCTCATTCATTTTCCTTACAGAGTTTGAGGACCTACTACATGCCAGGCACTGCACATGGCCCCCGTAAATTCATATTGCACCGCTTCCAAAGTGCTCTCAGGGAGACAGACATGTAAACGATTATCCACAGCATGCAGAGAGGCCGCAGGGTTATGCACAAACCACCATGGGAGACAAGGGGTGGAGTGACTAGTGCGCAGGTGGATGAGACAGGCTCTGCCCTCTGGGACCTTGCGGCCAGTGGGGAGACAGGCTCAAATATTAGTCTTGAGAAGAAGCCTGACAGAGGTAAACCTATGTGCTAGGAAAAGATATGTATGGAGTGTGCTTTGAGAGTGAAACAGCAGCAATATAACGGAAGAAAAAAAAGTCCTTGACCGCAGGACATTGGAATGACTCAGAATTAAATAGGTGTGTGAGCACCTATTTAATCCTAACAACAACCCTGTGAAATAGTGTTTATTGCCTGCTTTTTATCAATGAGGAAACAAGGGCTCAGGAGGATTAAGTGACTTTCCTCTGCTAACAAGTATCAGGGCTAGGAATCCAAACAAGTTTTCCTAACCCCAGAGGCAGTGCAGAGTTCTTTCCACTACACTGATTTAGTAGGAGAGAACACACACAGACACACACATACACACATACACACACACACACACACATACACACACACATATACACACACACATACACACACACACACACACACACACTTCTGAAGTTAAGAACAGGAAGAGACGGCTTTTCGCTGGGGTGATCTGAGCAGACCTCAAGGAGGAAGTGGTACCCATGCCAGGCTGGAAGAGCAGGCAGGGAGCAGAATGACCTGTGGGGAGAGAGAGAGAGAGAGATCAAATTGGAAGTTTAACACCCTCTCTAGGGGATGCCTCTAACCCTACCAGGAAGATCTGGGGAAGCTTTCCAGAGGTGATGGCTGGTACACACGTACAGGTGTGCACAGGAGCTCACTGAAAGTGAGCTCAAGAACAGAGCTAGTCCCACAGCTAGTTGGCCTGGGGGTGGCTGCTGGCGGGGAAGCAGTACAGTGCAGTGCAGAGCCCCATCTGGCACATGCTTAAGAGGGGCTGGCAGTGCCTTGTGGGGACAGATGACTTATGCCATTTGGTCTACTCTCACTTAAAATCAAATAATTTTTAAAAAGACGCACTTAAGAATGAAGGAGAAAGTGGGGGAGGAAGGAAGGATGGAAGGGGAGACTGGCTTAGTAAGGAGTCATGTTTGGATTCTATTTCTGGTCCAGTTTTTGTTTGCAGCTGTAGGCCTGTTAGTTAATTTCTGCGGATCACTTTCCTTGCATATGAAAGAGAGATGATAAATCCTAACCTAACTCACAGACTAATAAGAAACTAGAAGCGAATGCATTTGAAAAAGGCATCACTCACGCCAAGAGAAACCATTATCAGTATCACATTTATAGACGCGAATAGATGGCTGGTGGCTGAATAGACGGACTGGCTAAGATGGTCCCAGAGCTATGTTCACTTTTTTTGCCAAACGTGGTGCTTCATGGGTTTTCAGTCACCAGATCTCAGAGCTGACCCGGTGCTACTGTCTGAAGAGGGTGTGTTCAGTGCTGAGGCTTCAAGACAAGTCCCCAGCAGCCCTGCCCACTGCCTTCCCAGGGGAGTCAAGCCGTTGGGCAGGAGACAGCACTGGGAGAGGTGTCAGAATCACTCCCCAGCCATCCTGTTTCACACAGGTGCACACACACCGCCTGCCCATGGCTGCCTCGCTGGCAGGCAGAGAACTCAAAGAATTCTGTAACTAGCACTGCCGAGTTCATACCACACCACTGGGCAGAATTTCAGGGGTTCCGTCCCTTCCTGGGAAAGTGCACCCTGTAGATGGGGTGCCCAGACACCCAGGTTGTCGGAGCCAGCCCTGTTTAAGCCTGTCATCCCAGTGTAACTGTTGTAGCACCGCCCTTCAGTCTCAGAAGCGTCTCAGTTTGAATGGTCAATTCCAGGGTCTCCTGGCTTTTAGCCACCAGGAGAAACCTCCTCCTCATCCTCTTGGGAGGTCAACTCCGAGGGACCCAGAAACTGCCCTTGCCCCACACCCAGTGCTCGGTGGAATAATCCTCACTTCTGTTTCATTCCAGGTGCACAGCGTAATGTCCATGTTGTTCTACACTCTGATCACAGCTCTTTGGATCGGCGTCCAGGCAGAAGCGCACACCCAGAGCAATGTCCCAGCAGGACACGCTATCCCCCAAGCCCACTGGACTAACCTTCAGCACTCCCTTGACACAGCCCTCCGCAGAGCCCACAGCGGCCCGGCAGCCGCGATAGCCGCCAGGGTGGCAGGGCAGACCCGCAAGATCACCGTGGACCCGGAACTGTTTAAAAAGCGGCGCCTGCGTTCACCCCGCGTGCTGTTTAGCACCCAGCCCCCACCTGCGGCCGCGGACGCTCAGGGTCTGGACTTGGAGGCCGGCGGGGCCGCCCCCTTCAACAGGACTCACAGGAGCAAGCGGTCGTCGTCCCACCCTGTCTTCCACCGCGGGGAGTTCTCGGTGTGCGACAGCGTCAGCGTGTGGGTGGGGGACAAGGCCACCGCCACGGACATCAAGGGCAAGGAGGTGATGGTGTTGGGAGAGGTGAACATCAACAACAGTGTATTCAAACAGTACTTTTTTGAGACCAAGTGCCGGGACCCCAATCCCGTCGACAGCGGATGCCGGGGCATCGACTCGAAGCACTGGAACTCATATTGTACCACGACCCACACCTTCGTCAAGGCGCTGACCATGGATGGCAAGCAGGCCGCCTGGCGGTTCATCCGGATCGACACGGCCTGCGTGTGTGTGCTCAGCAGGAAAGCTGGGAGGAGAGCCTGACCGGCCCGACAGCCCTCAACCTCTCCCAGCTCCCCCCTCCACACTCTCCGGCACCCCTCCCTACCTCAACCTGTAAATTATTTTAAATTATAAGGACTGCATGGTAATTTATAGTTTATACAGTTTTAAAGAACCATTATTTATTAAATTTTTGGAAGCAGCCTGTGTGCCGGCCCTCCAGTCATTTTGCCCAGGGTGACCATCTGCAAGCCTTGGGATGGAGGCTGCAGGGAGAAAGGTACACAGCACCCCCTGGCTTTCCCTCAGACCCACCTGTAACCCTCACTCTCCCATCGCCCCCCAACCAGCCTTGCCACGCTTCAGGGAAGGCTAACCGGGTTCAGGTTAAATTAGCCTAAGCCGGGTGTAATTAGGAAGGGAAGTCTGCTGGATTGCAACTTTGTTCTGCATTCCAGAGCCAAAGCTACCTAATCCTTGGATCATCCACCCCACAGCCCGGATTCCCGAGCCTTGATTGCCTCATTCGGGGAAATGTGTGGAGCCTCGTCAGAAGGCAGATCCCCGCCGCCGGGCACGGGGCTGCCTCTGACCTCAGAGGGGCCCAGGCTGGGTCCTTCAGGGACTCACCAGATAGATAGGAGGAGACTGGCACCAAAGACCCGTAAGCCTGGCTCATTTTTTTAGGGGGAGATCTGCTGTTTGCTGAAAAGCTCCCTGGAAGAGTTGTAACGAAATAATCTCAGGAGGCCTGTCACGGTAGATCTGATTTCATGTTAAGATTGCCTTAGTTCTAATGGCTGGCCCTCAATTTATCCCCCAGTGGCTTCCTGCAGAAAGACTCCATGACCCCAAAAAACACGAAGGCCTCCAACACTCTCGTCACCCATTCACGGCCCCACAGCCACTTCCAATGGCCCCAACGTCGGCCTAGAATCAGAGGAACCAGAGGCCAGCCTGAAACTAACTTTTTAATTCCTAATTGGGTGACTTCCACAAGTGACCAAAGGTGGATGGGGTCATGGGAACTGCAGAGAAGATGGTATGGGGAGAAAAGACAAAGATGAGTGAGAACCAACACAAATAACCGGGAAAGGGGTGGAGGAGAGGTGGGCCAAGCCAGAAGGGAACACGCCTCTCTGCTCCTCCCTGACAGAGGGCACTAAACAAGAGGGAGAGACAGGGGAGCAGGGGAGGGGTGTGAGGGCAGGGAGCACGAGCAGAAAGAGGAGGAAGATGTGTCATCTTCACCAGCATCAGGATCCCCAGGCTTGCAAGAGATCCAACACCCTGGGTAGTTTCCTTTTTTTGTTTAGTTTTGTTTTTTTTGAAGCCGGGGATGTGCTTATTATCACTGACTGTATCAGGAGTGTCTTAGAGATAGCTGGAGATGACAGGGACTCCAGGGTACAGCCTGGAGCAGGGCTCTACCCATTCTCCAGCTGCTACCTTCCCCGGCAACTTTTATTTGTCTGTATTTTGTTTTGTTTTTTGTATTTTCCACAAAGGCAAAAAACTTTCCCCCTTTAGGGCACTTAGCTGAAATGGAAATTTTGCTTTCCTACCCTTCCCCTTTCCCCCAGGGTAAAATGCCTATCTAGTTTGTGTAACAACAGGCCCCAATTGTCCCTCTGACAAAAAAAGCAAATGGCGGTATTCATTCATCTGTAACTCTCCCTGTCCCACGGCCTGCCGCCCCAAAATCCAATCCAAATAGGGCAAATTAGAAACATAGACAGCTTTGGCATGAGAGACATTTGATTAAGGTAAAAGCGTGACGAAATGGGCCCTGTTTTTCCTATCAAAGCTACTGCAATTGGAATAAAGATTTACGTACAAAAAACACCAACCAGAACATTCTGTGCTAAGATACTGTTCAGATAAAGGCTGCAGGGAGGGAGTCGTCCCACTGACCTGTGTCTGTGGCTTTTTCCTGGACTCCAGTGCCAGTGGCCTTGTCCTTCCCGGCCCCTCCGACAGACAGTTCCTGGGGGCCCTTCCTCCGAGGGCTGGACAGGCCTGCTGGGTTCTAGATGTGGGGAGAGAGGGCTGCTGAGGGAGGCGTTCAGGAAGCTTCTGCGGGGAAGGGAGGCTATGTTTGTGAACTTCTACAACTTCGTGAAGAGTCTGGAGAACCACCGCCAGCCCTGCAGGACACTGGGGTGACCTGGACCCCACCACCTGCCTAGAGGGAAGGCAACCTCTAGCCGCTGAGGAAACACCGAGACTGAGGGGGGGGTAAGAGGAGGTCCTCCCCACCCCCTGAGTCCCCCCACTCCCCACCAACACCATAGCCTGCCCCAAAGGCAACATTTGCTCCAGGCCAAGCTCCGGAGTCCCAGCGTGGGAGCCAAGGTTTTCACACAATGCAAGGGAATATCAGTTTGGCTGGAAAGAGTCGGAAGGATCCAAGAAACCATCCGGAGCTGGGGCCTTCTCTAGCTTGTACCCTGCCCCCAACACAGTGGGGAGCTCTGGCTTCCAGACCCACCCAGGCTGCCCCCCAGAGGCCAGCCAGGTCACCACGGCCCCAGACATTCGAACACATTGAAAAAACAGCTCAAAACTGCCCGCTATATTCTGCTGAAGAGCAGCAGCTGCAAATCCCACAAACTTTTCCTTCACTTGCCTCACTGAGGTCTTCTTACCCGGGGTCCCCAAACACCCAGCTCCCTCTCCCCTCCAGCACGCCCGCCCAAGAGAGGAGTGCAGACCCTGGCTCGTACATAGCCTGACACAGCCCAGCCCTCCTAGCAAGGCCCATGCTAGCCTCAGCTTGAGGCAAGACTCCTCGTTCTGGGAGACAAGAGCAATATGGTGTCTGATTCTAGTGTATATTTCAAGTCTGGCTCTGTGACTTCCCCCTCCCTCAACCACAGCACCCGCCTGCCCTAGATCTGCATTCCATCCTAACGGGAAACCTACCACGGGGATACAGCTGTTCAGCAACAACCAAAGGGCTATTTTCATTCCCATGAAACATAGGAATGCTCCTCCTAAGTCTCACCACTTTCCCCTCAGCGTAATCTGCATTAGGGGCAGAGGGTCCGTCCAGCCCTGGAGCGCAGAGGACAGGGAAGGGCCGGGTGTTCTCGTCCCCTTGGAGAGAGGGGACAGTGAGGCTGGGGAGCAGACCTGAGTGGAAGCGCGTCTATCGAGAGCACAGGGGCCCACGCAGCAGTGACCCCGGTCTTCCTTTCACAGGCCTGACTGGAGCAGTGGGAGCCCCCAGGGCCCTGGTGCTGAGGAAGCCTCCCACTGTGATGGTCAGAACACTGGGCTTGGCGTCAGCTAGCTTTTAGGCTCAGCTCCCCCATTCCTATCTGCGCAACTTTGGCAAGCTCCTCTTTGACCTCAGTTCCTGCAGCTGTGAAATGAAAATAATCATTCCTAGATCCCAGAGTTGAGAGCATGAAGCAAAACCAACTATTTGAAAGTAAACAGTCATGTTCTATACAAAGGTAAGGCAAAGTAATTTACTCTGCACTTAATAATTTCTCTGTTAATTGTAGGAGAGTGACAATTATGCTAGTACTCACTAAATATATGTTTGTTGGCAGATATATAGATCGGGTAAAGGAAATCTTCTGACTAGTGGACATCATGGAATACAGGTGTGGCACAGCCAGACCCCAAAGGGTAAGATCAAGAACAGCAGCTCTTCAGCCCAGATTCTGCTTGAATCTGGGCTCGGGAAGGCCACCTAGATTCTAGAGGTTCTAGTGTAATGGTTAAGAGCATGGGATTTGGAATCAGACAAGCAAAGTACTTCTGCTTAGGCTGTGTGACCTTAGGCAAGTCGCTTTGCTTCTCTGAGTTTCAATTTTTCATCTGTCAAATGGGGATAATAATAGTAATATACATGTGTGTAGATATATATATATTTACACACCTAAGAAGTATATAATAAATTTTAGTGTTGAAAAGTAGAGGTGGCTGAGAAACCCTGAAAGTTTGTTAGAATGGGGTGGACATCTTTCAACAAGGCAAGGAGGTTCGTGAACAGACAGCTTTACAGATGTATCACAGGTTCCTTTTGTGACAAGCAATGCTGATAGCGACCATCAGCATTTACTAAGAGCTTGCTCTCCACAAGCACGGCACTAAGCAGTTCATGTGGATTAGCTCTGAGCAAGCCTCTGGGTTCTAAAACCAAGACCACCTTAAGGAGAGCACCGGAAGGCTGTGCTTTCTGTTTGCGCGCATCACTGCCACAGAGCTGCTCCCTGGCTCTCTGGGATGTGTTTACTTCCCCAGCCCTTGGCAAGTTTATAAACCACTGTCTTTTTTTTTTTTTTTAACAGCTTTATTGGAGTATAATTGCTTTACAATGGAGTGTTAGTTTCTGCTTTATAACAAAGTGAATCAGTTATACATATACATATATCCCCATATCTCCTCCCTCTTGCGTCTCCCTCCCTCCCACCCTCCCTATCCCACCCCTCTAGGTGGTCACAAAGCACCGAGCTGGTCTCCCTGTGCTATGCGCTGCTTCCCGTTAGCTATCTATTTTACGTTTGGTAGTGCATATATGTCCATGCCACTGTCTTTGAGAGTTTCCATGTGTCAAGCACGTGGGCTCTGTTTTGCTCCAATTCACTTGCGTCTGCAACTGGAAAGCTCTGACCTTCTCAAAGTTCACCTGGATTTGTGGAGATGGCTCAGGGGCCCCAGGGCCAAGATGAAGATGGGTGGGCCCTCTCGCAGCAGCAGCCTGAGGAGAATCCCTCCAACCCAGGCCTGTTCCTTAAAATCAAGGAAGTGCTCCATCTGTGCTCCCTCAGCACCTGGCCCAACCTTGCCTGTGGCGGGCATTCAACCAGGGTAATTAAGATGGAAGTTAGCTCCCATCTGTTTCTCCACCACCACCCCATCCCATCTGTGCCCGCCCTGTGTCAGCAGTAAATGGGTTAATGGTCTGAGTTGAAGGCAAGGTCTTTCCTGAAGCCACTGCCTGGGAGTCATCCAAGCAGCTTTCCAAGGTTGGTGTCACGATGAAGAGCACAGACCGCCACAGTCAAACCCTGGCCTCACCACTAGCTGGGCTGGGTGATATCGGATAAGTTACCTTCACTCCCTGCACTTCAGTTTTCTTACATGGAAAATGCGGATGATGATGATAGCACCCACTTTGTTGAGTTGAAAGGCACTTAGTCCAGTGTGTGGCACATAGTAAATTACTGTGTTTAAAACTTAGGTAAATACACTTACAGCTATATATACATCGATGCCCACATATAGCCACAATATACAGATACACACACAAAGAGAGCCCCTGAGAGCTCTGAAGCAGCCAGGACGTGTACATTCCTCACTCACACGCACCCACACACTGACTTAAAAACACAGAGCAACAGACGAATCACTGCAAATAAACCTTCTGGACGATGGCCACAGTGATAAGAAGCAATCAGGTGGAAAGAGTAAACCGGGGAAGACTTTCCAAAGGAAACAGCTTCTGAACTGTTTGGAAAAAGAAGTTGAGCGAAATTATTGTTTGTGCTGGGACTTCTTCCAGATCTACAAACAAGGTGAAACCCGAACACGAGGTTGCCCAGCTCTGGATGGGAGAGAAAGAAGAGCCGCCCCTATTCTCTCACCTCATTCTGAACTACAAACTGGCCATGGAACCAGCTTCTCCTACAAACACAGACCTTGGGAAAACTCAGAGAATAACAGTGTGAAATCCCGTGGGTGGACGTAAGGTCCCCGTATGCTGTCCACACAGTCTTTGTATTCAACCAGATGCCGAAGAGCTGGTCAAACAGCTTGTGAATATGGGGCTTCCTCCAGGCTTATCAGCTGGGTTTCCATGACTCAAAATAAGTAAGAAAAAGAGAGGTCCCCAGAGTGGGCACCATGCACTGCTGGCTCCAGGTACGGACTTGGGTTGGAGGCCAGCTCGATGCCCTGGCTGACATTTGGTGCCATGGCTAAGTGCAGTCTCCATCCGGCCTGGCAGCCTCTTTCCCCTTCATCTCGCCCTCACCATTCCTTTCACTTTGACATAATGAAAGTGCAACCTGCACACTGTCTAGAGGTTGCATATGATAATTAGAAACATGTGTCCGAGCTGGCATCCCTTCAAAGGACTCTGGAAATCGGACTTGGGCTGTCTTCTGATTGCAACAGCAATCCCCCGAGCTGGCTCTCCAGCCTTCACATTCTTTCAGCTGCACCTAGCGTTAACTCTTGCCAGTGGAAGACTGCTGCAAGCAGAGCTCATTCCTGAGGTTCTGCAGAGGCTGGCAGTAATGATTCCCAGGTACACAGCAAGGCTCTGGACTTGGCATCTAGGCAGGAACTTTTCAGCGATAATAGCAAGAATCAGCAGGCTTATTTTCCTTTTTGCAGAATTGGCACGTTGATGGGTCACCACCCAGGTGGGAGCCTGGGCCTTCTGGGGCACTGCCTAGACTCTGAAGGAATCCAATGCTGGTTCCTCTCTGATCCAGCAGGGTGATTTTTGCTACAGAAGATACCAAAATATCTTTATCTCACCAGGAAACTCCGGAGGGAAATGCAGAATCAGTGGCACCTCTCCACTATAATCACCCAAGCTGTGTGACTGACAGGAGAGACTGAGGGGACTTATTCAGTTGAGCAGAGACCAACTGCACATCAATGACATACAGGTGTCTTGCTAGGCCCTGAGTAGACAGAGGGTAAGTGGGGCCCCCTGTCCTCCAGGACTCTATGTCTGAGTTGGAGGCTGGATAGAGGATTTTGGTCTTTCTTTCAGCTTTTAGTCTAGATACATCTATAGCCACACACCCACAGCCCATGATAGCAGGCTCAAACACCCCCTGGTATTGGCAGCAATCACCCTGCCCCCTCACCTTGGCCTCTTCTTGCTTATTCCTGACCTCCTCTCACATCCTTACCGAGTTCTAAACCCTTGGCCCCAGGCCCCTGACCCTGATCCTGCCCTGGGTTCTCCAGGGAAGTGCTTCTCAAATTTTAATGTTCACCTGAGTCACCTGGGGATCTAATTCAATATATAAAGGATAGGAGGCTGAGATCCTGAATTTCTAACTAGCCCCCAGGTGATGCCCATGAGCTGCTCTGGGGACCACACTCTTGAGTATCAGGGTCATAGACCACATATGGCCTCCCCTTGGTCTAGACCTCAGTTCTCCATTGGGAACTTTAACCAGACTCATCTCTTTAGTTCTTAGAGTCCAAATTGGCCTTGGGTACAACAGTCCTGGCTCTGCTCCAGCCACTGGGAATCTAACCTCTGTCTTATACTCCTGAGCTGCTGTCCCACAAGGTCAGTGCTGCTGTCCTTCTTTGGTAGGGAGAAGTCAGAAAGGGGCAGACCCAACTAATATCATGTTGGGAAGAATGCGATGGGGGCTACAACCAAGTCTCAAGGAGGTGGAAACTCATCCCAAAGAGAAGCCCGGGGCGGAGGTAGGGTCGCAAGAGTCAGGCCTCGAAGCTGTATTTGGCGTTGAGACAGAAAGAGAGAAAGGCACCAGCCACACAGCACCAGGCTCATCCTACTTGTGAAAAAGTTAGTGACGAGCAAAGCACCATAATGGAGGCCTGATGCAGAGTCTTTCCCTCGCAAAATAAATCTGAGCAAGCTTCCTCTCCTCTCTGACCCTCAGTTTCTTTGTTTTCATAACAGAGAGATGAAAGTCATTCTCATCAGCGTCAGACATTGTGGACTGTCCTAAAACTTCCCAGAGGGGCTGTTTTTACTGTACCCGGGACAATTTACATAACACTTGATATAACTCTCAGCAATGGCTGTAAAAATGAAAAATGTCACAGTTAAATGTATAAAACAAGTAGCTCTCACCTGTCTCAGAGTTTGTCTCCCTTCAGCTTTAAGCAGATGAATTTCATAGCCAAACCATGTCAGGAGTCACTTCAAGCATTTGAAAACCTCAAACCAGATCCCCTGGTGGCCATATGTGGAGTTTCCACCTCTGGCTCTCACCGTTAAAGGGCAATATACAGTTTATTCACAGTTTATTATATTTGAAGAATGTCATTTAAAAATAACAACCAGTTCGATTCCTTCTCTCTTTAGTCGGCTCCTTTATGGATCTACAACAGTTGCTGCTGCCATTACAATCTCTTTTATCCATTAAGCAAAAATATCACGATTTTGAGTAAAATATCATGGACACACACAAAAAAGTGAGGCTTTCAATTGCCCTAAGAGAAGCTTTGCTAGGAGCAATTGTGAAGAATTCAAGCTACTTAAAGTTTATCAGAACAGATGGCCACTTAGTTCTCCCTGAATTAATAGTTGCTGGAAGCAACAGAATCAAATGGATGCTGTATGCATACACCAGAAATTGTATATTTAGGTAACTCGGTGAAGTTCATTGGTTGGCATCATTCGGTGTCAGAGATTTGCAGTTTTAGGTCGTAAATATAGATTTATCTGGAAAATATTTTGCTTCAGAGATTGAAGTTTGTTTGGTTACTGTTGTTGGTTTTTTGTTTGTTTGTTTTTAAACAACATGATTCTACACAGAACAAGAGCCAGAAGACAAAAATGTGGGCAAAATTCCCTCTAAATCAGTCTTATTCCAGCAGCCTCTGGATTCAGTACAAGCAAGGAGTCCAGCTGGGAAAACTATCCGTTTGGTGTTGATTTTCTGTTTCTGGATTTACGTTTCACTTGGGTCATTTTCCTTATTTTTCTCCACATGTTCCAGGAAGCCTTCCCCCTGTGCCTCCTATTAGACAAGACTCCTTCTCCACTGAGAAATCACACAGGCATAATATTCATGGCTGGGGAAAGTGATGATAGGACAGAGGTCTATAAGCAAGAGGGCCCAACATACATCAAAGGGTGTGGATGACTTCTGGTAACATAACTCAAAATGCTACTCATTGAGAGATTTATTCTACATAGACTTTAATCATGGCTTTATTGGGTTGTGGTTTGTGTGTATTTGGTGAGTTATAGAGGCTTTTAGGAGGAAAAAGCTTTTCAATTTTGTTATTCATTATAAAAGCCTTTGTCCTATGTAAAGCAATAAAGATGTGATGAAAATGGAATACCCAGATCCCAGTGGAATGAGGGGAGAGTGTCAGAAAAAGAAGGGCAATGTTTACATCAGAATCCTAACTGTGCCACTAAATAAAGAGGGCTCTCAGTCTGGTGACATGTGCAGACCATCTGGACTACAGGGTGGATCTGAGTACTGTTTTCTTTGAACAAAGACATTGTGCACAGCTCAGGTAGCAAATAGTGATAGATCCTGGAGAACACACTGAACATCACTGTCCTTGACACACCCACAAAAGCTACATGTTATCTCTGCCCTACACTTCTGCCCCTTATTCACTGGAAAAAAACAAGCACCCTGTTCCATTAGTCCACATTGGTCCAGACTCCTAATCCACCTGGTTTCTTTTGTTTATTTTTTTATGAATTTATATTTTGGTAGGGGAGAGGCAAGCATAGTAGGGTGTGTAGGGGACTAGTCTATGGAAGCAGAATTCCTGAGTTCAAATCCTGGCTTTCCCACTGACTGGCTGTATTAGCCAGTTCAGGCTGCCATAACAAAATACCATAGACTGGCTTTAACAACAGAAATGTATTTTCTCACAGTTCTGGAGGCTGGGAAGTCCAAGATCAATGTGCCAGCCAAGGGCTCCCTTACTGGCTTGTAGATGACTGCCTTCTTACTGTGTCCTCACATGGTGGGAAAGACAGAAAGAGAGTGGGGTGAAGAAGAGCTCTCATAAGGACACTAATCCTGTTGGGTCAGGGCCCCACCCTTATGACCTCATTTAACTTTAATTGCTTCCTTGAAGGCCCCATTTTGGAATACAGTCACATTGAGGGTGAGGGCTTGAACATATAAATTTTAGGGCACACCATTCAGTCCATAGCATCAGGTTTGTGGCTTTGAGCAAGTTGTCTAAGCTGTTTCTCTGTCTGTAAAACAGACAATTATATAAAATTGATAATTTTATCTACCCCATACCTTTGCAGTAAGCATTCAATATCACCTCTATAAAGTGCTTAGCAGAGTGTCAGTTGTCAAGAGCTAGTTTCACTCACATAGAAGCAAATTCTAGGACTTCATTCCATTAGGGTGACCAAGAAGGATCAGAGATTTGAGATTGTTAGGGAAGAATGGGGAACATGCAAACCAGTTCTGACCCTGACAAGGAGAGGCAGAAAAGGACACAAGAAAGCGAAGTGCTAAGAAAAGAGGATGTGCAGTCCACTGCTGGATGGCCTAGATGCTAGAAAGTTTCTCCTTGTATTAAACTAAAAATCTTTCCCCAACATTTCTACCCATTCACCCAAGTATTGTCCCTAGGAAGTGTTCTCTGGAATAACACATGGAACTGGCCCATGCCCGTTTCCATATGACAAATTTTTGAAAATAGCTATTATGTCCCCCACCTAAGTCTTTTATTTCCCAGGCTAAACATTCCCAGGTCCTTCAATCATCCCTGTATGAAAGGGTTTCCAGCCCCCTTACTGCGGCGAGCCGTTTCCGACCAGCAGAATAACGAGCCGCCACACGCAAGATTCTTCTCGTATCACACTTTATTGGAGCACAGCTTGGTTGAAGAAAGATGGAAGGAAGACACCGCAATCCTATAGCAGTCTGCTTATATAGGGATTAAGAACATGTGTCGCTCTGTGATTGGCTTTCGCCGATGGTGCGATTTGTGAGCCAGCATCGGATAGGTCGCTACTTTAAAACCTCATTAGTATACTTAGCGCAAGCGCAGTGGCCACAGGAAGGATGACTCAGCTTATTTCAGCTTCCTGCCGCGTAGCAGTTAGCTGACCGCGCCCTACACCTTACTATCCTGGTCAACCCTCTCTGGACACACTCTAATTTGTCCATGTTCCTCTTCAAATGTGGTGTCCAGAAGGAAATACAATACTCCAGATGTGGACTGGCCAGCACTAATTACAATAGGACTATTAACTCCTTTGATCCACATAGTATATATCTATCAATGGAGCCTAAAATTACAAAAACTTTTTCAGCTCCCACATCACTCTAGATTTTCCTTTCAAGTTTATGGTAAATTACAACTGCTTAGTTTTTTGTTTTGTCTTGTTGTTTTCTCACTATTATTAGACCAGGACTCCTCCATCTCCCATTTTACCAGTGATTATTTAGCTTAAACACAGGCATGTGGCTTACTGACTAGTGAGACTTAAAGTCTTTGTGGGCAGGAACTATGTCTAACTCATCGTGTTATTTCAGAGCCTAGCACAGTGCCTGGCTCACTGATGTGTTAGCTATACCTTCTACCTGCTGCTCGCCACCATGATGAGAGCCTAAGGAATAAAGACACCAAGAATGCACCAGGCAAAAGCTTGATCTTTACTCCTAATTATAGGTTTGGCCTCCAAATCCCTATAATGTCTCCCACCCTGGCAACCTGAACAGGAGCACCTTTGACCCTAGCAGGACTTCTGTGAACTCAAACAAGCCCATCTGATGGCAAACACAGCAGGGAAGAAAAAGAAAAGGAAAGAGAAAAGAACACAAGAGCAAACTGGAAAGGGGTGAATATAAGAGCATTTGCTCAGTCCAGCTCCATTTATAATTGCATTATTCCTTCCACTAAGAGCCCCACCCCTTCTATTTTGAGCACCCTGTGAGAGGAGGGGGAAGCCTTGAGCTCCCCCTAGAGGCGAGAGCATGAGACTAATAAGAGATGCTCAATAACTTGAATGATCACTGATGTTGGGTTCTGTATGAATCTTAATCTCATAATCCAACATACTGACAGATCCTCTCATCTATTAGGAAGGATAAGGCCAACCTGGAGCTTTTAAAGAAACATCAACAAATGTGACCTTAGTCCAGGGAACTCATTGCAAACTCTCTTTGTCTGAGCACTAACTCCTTCACTTGGTTTATTTGCTTGCTCCTATCAGCTTTGGACCCCAGGCAGACTTCCACAGACTTGCGAGTCTTGTACTTGCTTAACTTGGACCTGAGCTTTCTTATTCATAAATTTGTTCATCCAAGTCAAGGGCTGTATAAGAACTGGGATAAGCTGGTGAGAAAAATCAGACATGGGAAAAGAAAAATCACCTTATGGTCTAGTGAAGGAGCAAGATATCCCACAAATAAAAGAAACTGCAACCATGATGAGTGTTACAAGTACAAGTACATGGGACCGTGAGCACAACAGAGGGGTTTGACCTAGTTGGGGAGGAGGAAATCATGTGTGAGGTAAGGGATGAGTGGGATCAACCCGGTGAGGATGAAAGTGAAGAAGTTTCCAGGCGGAGACAATAGCCTTATGCAAAAGGTCTGGTGGAGGAAAGCCCAGAAGGTCCTAGAAGTTGAAAAGAGGCCAGCATGGCTAGGACAGAACACAGAAGAGGGAGGTGGCAGGAAGACGAGGCTATGGAAGAGAGCTGCTTGGCTTGTCACCAAGACCTGATTCCAGATTAAGTCCGATCTACAACCAGGTTTATTTAAACTCGATTGTCAAATAACTCTTAATTCACCTTTTCCATCCTGTCTTCAAGGCTTTCATGAGCTACACTGTCAATGCCTTGAGGAAATCAAAATAAATTATGTGCGTATGATGACCCTGATTGGGTCTATCATGGATCTTAGAGATAGAACTTCAAGCATGAGTACAGGGTTTTTGTTTGATTTTCTTATTTAACATGGAGTTTTTGAACCTACTGAAAAGCATAAGGAAGCAAGAAGAAGGAGAAACTATGGGTGCTAGAGAATATTTGATGTGGGTGAAAATCAAAGTCCTTCATGAGAAAACACTAGGTGCCTCTCTGATATCTTTCTCTGAATAGTTTCACCATTCCCTAAGGATAACATCATTCAGCTATGTTTTTCATTCGTTCAATGTTTTTCCTTGTTGGTAAGAAATCAGCTGGTGACCATGCAATTTTAAGCCCATTTTCCTTTCATTCCAGGACTATTTAACACTGGCTACAAATCTGTAACCAAGCGGTAACATCCTCTACTTTTATTGTTCTTTCATTTAATCATCATTCTTTCAACAAACACATATTAAGTTTTTACTATGTGCTAGACACTGAGGATAAAAATATGAATAAGACAAGAGTATTTGCCCTCTGAGAGCTCACAGTCAAGTGGGAAAACCAGGCATGATCCAATTAGTTAGTAATGGAATAGATATGAATATGATAAATGGTAATGTGAGGTGAGAGAAAGCTCTTAGCTCTGCCTACCAAGGCAAAGGGGGACTTTTACAGGAAAGACATTTGAGCTGAGCCTTGGAGCACACAAGGACAAAAGGAAGTCCCAGGCAGAGAAAATGGCATTTGCAAAGGCAGGGAGGCAAAGGAAAGAGTGGAATAGTGGGTAACCATAGGAAAGTGGTTTGGACAGAGTCCAAGATGTCCATAGGAGTCAGGAGAGAGATGAGGCTGGAAAAGTAGGTAGGAATCACTCATGATGAGTTTTGAACCTTGTTCTCCAGAATTTAGATGTTGTCCCATAGGCAATGGTAAGCCTGTAAAGCTCCGATTTTTACTTTCGAAAGATCACTCGGATAGTCACGTGGAGGATAATTTGTAATCATGAAGAGTCAAAGAGAATTTTAACGCATCTGACACCAATGACTGGTTGGTCCATATACATTTGGTGATTTACATATGGTGCTACCTTGATTTGTTTGACAGAAAATCTAAACCTTAATGACAATCACAGGATCTCTGGAAAGACAGCTGGAGTTGCCTCCATTTTTCCCAAAGTGTGTTCCACAGGACACTAGTCCTATGGGGTGTTAGCAGGTGTTAAGTAGTGGGGAAAATGTCTGCCAATTATATCTAGGTTATTACCCATAGGGAGTAGAGTAGCCTTAAAGGTAAACCAAATGAGATAAAGCAAAGAAAGTGCTTCTGTGTTTCTTCAAGAAGACATCAAAGAAGATATATAGGTATAGGTAACTACAGACACAGATACAACCACTTGCTTTTCTTTTTGTGATGCTTTCCTTGGACTTGTGCTAAAATGGGCTGAAAATGGTACTCTCTGAGCACACAGATACTAAGAGTAGGAAGAAAGCAGTTTCAGCTTCAGCCAGGCAGCAGGGAGAAACTAATTTGTAATTCAAGAATTGGTTGTACAGCTTTCTAACCCCTGGAAAAGGGGCCAGGTGAGGTAGGTGGTACCAGCCAGGCTGATCAAGGTAAGGAGGAGGTTCAAGGAGCCAGGCTAAGTCATAAAAAGAAGTGGCCAGGGGCAGAGAAGAGCAGAGATCCAGGACATGAGTATACAACTATAATGACCACAGGAGAATGCTTGAGTATCAAGATAAAGAACCCAAGTCTGACATCAAGCCTGGGCCTGAAAAGAAGATCAAGTAGGAGATCAGGTCCCAAGTAAATGCAGAGATGGAGTAGGAAGTTGGGATCAAGATGTGAATGAAACAGAAAGCTCTGGGTCTTTCTCCATGTACAGAGATGGGTAGCTCAGAGCATCTTCTTATGAGACCTGGCTGTGCAGTGCCAGAGCATGGGAGTCACCCTGCACTGAAGCATAGCATCTGGGTAGGCAAGGTCATCCATACACAGATAAACTGGGTCCTCCCCCTGGACTAGAAGTTACTGGGTAGGAATCACCTGATCCTTCTTAGCTACTCCAGCATCTCACACACAACTTGGTACAACGGTAGGCGCTCAGTTAAGATTTTCTGAACAAATGGCTGAATAGATTCTCTAAACTAAGCTTCCCTCACATTGCCAACCTTCCTGACCTCTAGGTCCCAAAGGAAGTTCTACCTGGATACGGAATGTCTTTGTAGAGTGATTCTCCTTGTTACAGCCCAATGGAAAGGTGTGAAGACCTTATGCTCGTTGAGATGTCAACTTCCAATCTCAACAGGGAAATGATACCAGGTGGCAAAGCCACCCTAGTGGAACATCAAAACTGACACGTTACCCTCTCCTCTCCCTTTTCCTACTTCATCCCAACACTGGGCTGAACTATCAACACGAGGAAGCTGAGTGAGAAGGAAACACAGGCCCATAGGATGGCTTCCCAACAAGAGAACTTAAATTTTTAATGATAGTATTAACTAAGGCTTATCAATCTGCAATTTTGTTAGACAAATTTAAACTATAGACATGTTATATTGTGTTATTTTGAGTTATTTTTGTTTTCCCAGTTTCTATAACCATGAAAGAGTTTTGGCATGATTATCCTCTCACATGAAGGGAGGGGAGGGGTCTTAACGCCTTGAATGGCATATGGGTCCACACGGTGGGGGATCCATTTCAAGAAGAGGCATTTAATTAACAGGCAAAATGCCAGAGCCTAGGAAATCTAACAGTACCCAACTCCTACCAAGCAGAGGATGGCATTTCAGAGTACTTTCCATGGTGCCATCCTTCCCATGGTTTGCATACACAGGGAGGACCAACGGAGCTGCTACATGCAGTTTTGTATTTGCAGGAATGTGAAAAAGATAGAAACCAGGGTCCATGGCAGTCAAGTTAAAACCAAGCTGATTCGGTTGCACAACAATGTGAATGTGCTTAATGCCACTTAACTGTACACTTAAAATGGTTAAATGGTAATTTTTATGTTATATTTTACCATAATAGCTTTTTTTAAATGAGCAAATAGAATAAAGGCTGGGGGAGGAAGGATGAAAGCAAGTTGATTCTTTATAACCTGCACAGAGGGAGGGGAGCAGTGGCACAGTTGATCCAGAAACATTTTTACTTGGTTTTGGATTGCAATTTAGGAGCCCGTGTGTGACTGATAACGTTGCTAGGTATGTTCACCTTATCCATCAACACCATCCAACACAAGAGAAGAGAGTGCTGCAGGGCACTGAGTACTCTGAAAAGAGGACCACGGGCCACCACTGGCCACATGCAATCTGCAGAGCTAATGGACAGGAACTGGGCCACCACTGAGTGGAAAGGCTGGGCTATCTCCGTGCTGCCCACGAGGCTAACTGATGCTCAGCTGAGCTGACCCATTCATTCTCCTCCCCTGACCCACATGTGTGGGCAGGGTCTGGTCAGAGCTGTTCTGGAACACGGTGACAGGCAGAGCCTTCCATATGCTCACACCCAAGGTTTTATCCACAGAAATTCTATTAGTTCCATATCATGGAGGCTGTCCAAGGAACCCTCAGCTCAGGGACACTCCTTGTCCTGCTCAAAGGCAGTGACAAAAGTGACAGCACTTAATGTCTGAAGAGGAATTCACAAGAATAGACTTGCAAAATAGTCCAGCATCAGATGTTGGTGACACTTACTGCCTGATGTCCTCAGTCTAACACTGGTGATAGGACAATCTCAGGTCTGGCTGGGAAGAGGGCTTTGCAGGCTCTCTCTCTTCCCTAACGGTAGTCTCCCTTCCAACTTAACAAACACTAATCAGACAGCGATTATGTAAGATTCTGGGACCACTGGGAGAAATTATACAAGATCCTGTGGCCATGGCACTGCCAGCACTCAGACCTTAGACCTCAGGCTCTGGCTCTCCTAGGAGGGGTGTAGAGCCCAATGGGTACCGGCTCCAAACCAATCCATCAACACATATTCATGCCACTGTCTTATTCATCTTGGGTTCCTACCAGCACAGGTATCCTCCTCTCATCCCTTTGCATCCTTGGAAACCTCATTCCTTGTACTCTTTCCTTGTGGTCTAAGCTAAAGTCTGACACTTCCTGAGGCACCATCCTCCCTACCACCCTCTCCAGGGCTTCTCATTCTGCCACTCCCCGTGTAACCTAGGTTAAGTGGGAGTGGAGAGGGAGTAGCATCGGGCTCCCATCGCTGCTTCCATCTCCTGTAACAGTCTCTCCCCATTTAGGGCTTTGCCACAGTGCTCACTCCTCCTCATGACCACCAACTATGGAAAGAATACAAGCAACCTTAAGATACAGCTCAGAATCGCTGTTCATCCTGCCAGTTTTACCTTCTGATTTCCTCAGATCTGTTCTCTCTCTCCCTGTAACCACTGCCCTGCTGTAGACCCTCAACATCTCTTGCCTGAAATATTGCAGTAGCTTCCTCACTGATGTATCTGTGTCTGGTCTTGTTGCCCTCATACCTGCCCCCCAGGCCTATACTATTTAAAACACAAATGTTACTGTAATACTTCCCAAGTGGTTGTGACCTCATAGATGTAACTAACACTTATTGAGGGCTTTCATGGTGCCAGACCCTGGGCTACGTGCTCTACATGTTACTATTATTGTCCCCATTTAACAGAAGAGGCATCCACAGTTGAGACAGACTAAATCAAGATCACACAGTCAAGAAGTGTCTTAGATGGAATTCAAAGATCTAACTGTCCAACTCCAGATCCTAAGCACCTAACCCTTGGCCACTGAAGAAGACATCGTTAGCACTCACGAGCATTCCCAGTTCTCTGCTCCCTCCAGGCACAAGGGAGGATTACACTGCTCACCCCCTTAAAAGTTAAGAGTGGTCACCTTACCTGTTTTAGTCAGTGAGAAGTGAAGGGAAGTGACAGGGGTCTTGTTCTGGTGGAAGCATTTAAGCACCAGTATGCAATTATCCGTACTCTTCTCCCGTGCTGCAGTGAAAACTCCAAAGCTTTCTGTCGAGATGGTGAAATCATACGAGGGCAGAGCCCTTGTCAGCCTAGGTCCTGAGTGCCCAGGTTGAGCTGAGTCCCCCATCAACCTACAGGGTTGAAGCATGAACAAGAAATAAACCTTTGTTTTATGAACCTTTCAGCCGCTAAGATTTGGTAATACTATAGAAACACACACATACACTCAACACACACGCATACACTCACACTCACACACACACACACACACACAATTTAGCTTGTCTTGATAAATACGAATATATTGCCATGCCTCAGTTACAATAACCAGGCTCTGGTCTTCTTGCAAAAGCCTTCTTATATTCCAGTTTTGTTCACTGCATTTACTAGCTATGCAAACTCAAACAAATTGCCTACCTCTCTGAGTCTCAGTTTCTTAATTTATGAGTGTTGAAGTAGAGCTTAAGTTAAATTTTATTCAACAAATCCTTACAGAGAGTAAGCGCCAGGCACCGTGCTGGGTGCTAGTTGATATGGAAAGCCTTTTCTACATCTGGGTCTGGGTCTGTCCTGACCCACTGTCTAGGACCATCGTCCAGAGCTCACTGCTGGGAGCAAACCTGGGGTCAAGCCCTGGCTCTGCCACTTACTAGAGTGCCCGTGATTACACAGAGTGAGACTGTGGGTGAGTTATGACTCAATCTCTCTGTCTCCATGTCATCATTTAGTAAAGCAAGAACATTTATTCCTACCTACCAGGTCTGTGGGGAGGGGCAAATAAAGTGTGTGTATATAACTCCAAGGATGGATCCACTGGTGATAGAAACATATCTGGTATTAGTCATGGTGTCACCTCTTACTTGCTGTGTGACCTTGAGCATGTTACTTAGACATTTTATGCCTCAACTCCTCCATCTAGAAAGAGAGAATAGTAATGGTACCTCTGCCTCCATTGGGTTTTAGTGAGAACTATTGAATTCTTGACACATGGTAGCACTCAACAAATGTTCATTACTCCAAAGAAAGACACTTTACACATACCAGGCTGTTTATATGTTTTTATGTGTGTGTGATATATACTCTCAAATTTTACAATTATTGATTCAATGGCTATTTCTCCCACCTTGAAGATAGGGACTGGGTCTTTTTCCTCTTCACATCTCCAGTACCTGGAGAGCAGACTGGTTGAATAACTGTTTGCGGGATGAACTGAATGAATTTATCACATTTTTCTATTATCTTCTTTCTATCTTCCTGAAGAAAACTCAATCTCTTGGCCTTAGAAAGTCACAGGCTTTTCTGGGGAGTGTCTAGTTGTCAAAGAAGCCGCTTCTCACAAATGTTCAATCTGACCTGACAAATGGAGAGAAGGGCTTGGGGCCGGGTGGGAAGGCGTGTGTAAGCTCACCAAATTGCCTCAGTCTCTGGGTCATGTTTTTCTGCAGTCTGAGAGGTTTTGTTTTTTATTTAAAGAAACAAAACAGTTTCCAAGGAAAACTCATTTTGTTATGGTTCAAAACCATTTCATTTGTGATATTATTTCCTCTGCTGAGCTTTCAACTTTCTAAATCCCTCTGAGGCTGGAACAGCTCCAGGGCTGTGAGTGCTCTTGAGGCGGGGGTGGGGGAACGGAGGACGGGGAACGAATCCCTCCTTTGCAGAGCCCACCACTGGCTGCAGAGCCTGGAGATGCAGCTCAGAGAAATAAATCACTATCCTCCAGGTTTCCATTCAGATCCATTCAGCAGCACCCTTGAAAGTGGACCCTTCCATGGCTTTTTAATCATGGAACTTTCCCTGGAGAAAGCGTCGGGTCTGTGGCCAGACACAGCGCAGCTGAGGTCATCAGGGCTGGTGAGGGGAGTGTCTCTGGATGGTTTTGTGGCCAACAGTTGGGGTTGCTTTATCACATCTGAGGGAAACATCAGTGGAATCCCACATAGTGACTATCTGTCCTCACAATTCATGATCACAGAGCACTCCTGATTTTCCTCCAACCCCTCTAATGTGTTGTGCAACTTGAGAGTGGCCAAAGAAAAGATCTTCCTTCATGTGGTGGCTCTGCCCTCGTAACATGTTTAAAGCTGTTCTGCGAGTGACCTGGAGGCTTTTGAGGCTTTTCTTGAGCAAGGAGGAAAATTCAGCCTGGGTCATGGAATTCATGGACGTAAATTCTCCCAAGTAAGAGCCGTCCCTCTCTCCTCTGCACCAGCACAGTGAGGGGCAGGACTGATGGGCCAATGTTTCCCTTACAGCTTGAGAGGTGGTCCAGACCAAGGACAGGAGGCTACACTGAGATCAATTTTGGATCAATATAAGGCTGAACTTTCTAGCATAATTTAAAAAAACAACAAAAGAAAAACTGCCTTGAATGGTGTGAGTCTACTGTCACTGGAATTGTTTAAACAGACTAAACACCAGGCAGAAAAGTCATAGAAGAGATTCAAACAAATGAATGTTAACATTAGGTGACCTTAGTCATCCCTTTCAATCCAAAGGTGCTGTGATTGGATTAAAACGTGTTCATTTAACAAACAGTAAGAGCCTGGTATGTGTGCTATGCTCCTTGAGGTCCCAAGAGACATGTAGGAACCAGTGAAGACTCAGTCCTTGTGCTTAGCCTTACTCAGGAAACAAGACACCTGTGTCAGTTAGGATCACCTAGTTACATTAATTCTAGAAACTTAAATCAATCAGTGCTTAAATTCTCATATATGGTACATGTCTTTCATAAGTCATGGAAGTGGGACTCTGCTCCACATCATCTTCAGGGATCCAGGCTGACAGAGGGTTGACTCTGTGGACTGTCACAGGTCACTGCAACAGTAGGAGAAGAAGAGAGTCATGCACTGACTCTTCAGCTTCTGCCTGCTTGTGACACTTGTCAATTCTGCTTTGGATTGGCTAAAGCACGTCACATGGTGTGACTAACAAGAGGTAGGTTAGGTACAATCCTACTGGGCCCACGAGGAGGAGAACCAGAAATACTGACGAGCAGGACTAATGTCTATCATATCACAAAAGCATGCAACAACTGGACAACAATATAAAACAGTATGTAATCAAGACTAAATGAAGATAGTGCTAGATGAAAGATTAATGAATGAATGAATGAGAAATCCATGTCAGTTGGATAATAAGAGAAGATTCTGTGGCAGAAGTAGGACATGAACACAGCATTAAAAGTGAAGAAGTAAGTACGTATGAGGTAAAGAGAGGAAAACAGCACCTCCAGAAGAGGTGAGAACAGCAGAGAAAATTGGGAAGGGAAGAAAAATTGTCTAAAGCAGCCCTGGAGAATAGTGGAAGATGAAGTTCATGGAGGATTTTGACTGTGGGCTGAGTTTGGAACTAATTTTGATAAGATAATCAACAGGGAATCACTGAATTTCAGTTTAATTATACATGGCATACTTTTGGAGCACCTACTACTGTAATATTGCAGGAGGCATAAATACTAGTAAAATATTTCCTGTCTTCTAGGAGCTGACAAAACCTTAGGAAATAAAAGTTACCCTGTAATACAGGCAGAATCTGTGGTTTCATAGCAGAAACAGAAAGACAAAGTGTAAAGATGGGAAACACACTGTAAATGTAGGTGGAGGTGGCAAGGGAAGAAAGGGAGACAGGTGGCCTGATGTACTCAGGTGATTAGGGGAATGGCCACACCCTGCAGTGCATCTGTGCTTCCCCAGCCACACCAGGCCCAGTGCAAGAATTAACTGGTATTTCCCACCAAATTCTTCTCAGTTATTTCATGACATCACCAAAGGGGAGTTTACCTGTTCTCTCAAACACAGTCTACCTCAGGCAGGGCCACAGCTCCTTTCCTGCATTAGCTGTTTACAGTGAATGAATTCCAGGGGTTGGCTGACCTGGCATAATAATAGTAATAATAACAACAACAACAACATCCAACATTTACAGAAGACTAACAAAATGGATCAGTCAGGCACGTTATTGCCTTTACTCCTTATAACACCAGATGAGAAACCTGAGGTTCAAATATTATGCATCTTCTCCAAGATCACCTGGCTGGGTAAATGTCAGAGCCAAGATTCAAATCCAGATCTTTCATACTCTATAGTATTGCCTTGAGACTAAGGACTACCTCTTATACACCTTTATAGACCTCATCAGCACAATGCCTGGCACAGAAAAGAAATCAGTGTTTACTGAAAGGGTTAAAGGAATACAAAATCAGACAGTTGAAGTCAGATTCCTGTAGTGGCAAATATATTTTCTTTTTAAGAACAAGGAATGCATGTTAATGAATCAGGAGAAGGGAGGTAGTGAGAAGGGCTCTAAGAAATGTTGACAGTAGGCAGTGGAGGCCAGAAAGAAGAGGTGGGATTGCTGGGACCAGTAGTAAGCAGCATCTTGTATTTTTACAGCCTTTACCATTTCTAAATTGCATCCATTAAATTCCTTCAATCTACTTTATAAATGAGACAACTAAGACTCAAAGGGTCTCAGATAAGGATTATTCACCCCCAAAGTCCTCTTTACACTTTGATAATCAATTTTCATTGTGCAGACAGATGGCTGGGAGCAAATAAATTAAGGTAGCAGGTATATAGTTCATTAACTTAAAGGAAAAAGTCATGGGGGAAGGAAGCAGATGATTTGGGCTCCCTGTTAAAGACTAGATGAGATGCTTGTGCATACTCAGCAGTCAGGGGGACAGTGTCCTCTAGAATACAGACCAGCAGGCTCTAAGAGAACGACGTGTGTCCAGCCTGAAACCAGGGACTATGGTCCCAACACTTTCTGAAGAAATGAAAGTCATGAGGGGAAAAACCCTGACAGAGTAGGGACAATGGCTGCATAATGTTGCAATCTTTAACAAAATGTAATGGTTATCCATCCAAACCCAACCTCCTTTCTGCAACCCCCGTCCTTTAAGCAAGGGACACAGCAGGGAAGACTTCAGGGATAAGAGGGTGAGCCTTATGTCCAATTTCCCCCCCTTTACATAATTTTCCCTATGTCGAAAGCATTGTCATTAGTGAGGTTCATGAGAATGGGGCAAATAATGGCATAATCCCTTCACATGGGTAATTATTACTGGAAAAAGAAGAGACACATTCTTCATAAACAGTGTTTATCACTTCCTATCATTTTTCCCCCT